CAGTCACATGAAACAGTCACATGAAACAGTCACATGAAACAGTCACATGAAACAGTCACATGCAACAGTCACATGAAACAGTCACATGAAATAGACACATGAAACAGTCACATGAAACAGTCACATGAAACAGTCACATGAAACAGTCACATGAAACAGTCACATGAAACAGTCACATGAAACAGTCACATGCAACAGTCACATGCAACAGTCACATGAAACAGTCACATGAAACAGTCACATGAAACAGTCACATGAAACAGTCACATGCAACAGTCACATGAAACAGTCACATGAAATAGACACATGAAACAGTCACATGAAACAGTCACATGAAACAGTCACATGAAACAGTCACATGAAAATTCACATGAAACAGTCACATGAGCGTTACAGTTTTGGAAACACCGACATGAAACAGACACATGACAGTCACATGAAACAGTCACATGAAACAGTCACATGAAACAATCACATGAAACAGTCACATGAAACAGTCACATGAAACAGTCACATGAAACAGTCACATGAAACAGTCACATGCAACAGTCACATGAAACAGTCACATGAAATAGACACATGAAACAGTCACATGAAACAGTCACATGAAACAGTCACATGAAACAGTCACATGAAAATTCACATGAAACAGTCACATGAGCGTTACAGTTTTGGAAACACCGACATGAAACAGACACATGACAGTCACATGAAACAGTCACATGAAACAGTCACATGAAACAATCACATGAAACAGTCACATGAAACAGTCACATGAAACAGTCACATGAAACAGTCACATGAAACAGTCACATGCAACAGTCACATGAAACAGTCACATGAAATAGACACATGAAACAGTCACATGAAACAGTCACATGAAACAGTCACATGAAACAGTCACATGAAAATTCACATGAAACAGTCACATGAGCGTTACAGTTTTGGAAACACCGACATGAAACAGACACATGACAGTCACATGAAACAGTCACATGAAACAGTCACATGAAACAATCACATGAAACAGTCACATGAAACAGTCACATGAAACAGTCACATGAAACAGTCACATGAAACAGTCACATGAAATAGACACATGAAACAGTCACATGAAACAGTCACATGAAACAGTCACATGAAACAGTCACATGAAAATTCACATGAAACAGTCACATGAGCGTTACAGTTTTGGAAACACCGACATGAAACAGACACATGACAGTCCCATGAAACAGTTGCGTGAAACAGTCACACAAAGAAGCCATGAAACAGTGACACGAAACGGTCACATCAAACATTTACGGATGATGCACATGATTTCACAGTCACAGCCCATTCACACATGCTACGTGTATGCACATGCATTGTGAAATTAAAACCCGCGGGCCAAGATATTCAAGCTTAGGAAGGTTGGTTGGGTGTGAGGAAGGTAATTGCCCGTGAGCCAATAGGAGTGTCGAAATTGTTGGACGAGGTGGTAGAAACTCGGGAAAATCACAGGCGATTTTGGGACACCCAACCAACACTAGGAAGGATGAACCAAATTTGGCCTTCTTGGCCCCCGGGTTTTAAGTATGCATGCCCAGGTACTAGATTCACAACTACTTTATGTGAATACTGGCAATTGAACAGTAATTCATCTCTGATTAACCCTGCTTTGATGTAGGGTATTGTTATTGTTACGTCTCGAGCTTAGATTACCAAACGCGTCTCGACTTGTCGCACGTACCTGTCATCTGAACCGTCCATCCTGACTCCGCCACGTGACGCGTGCACCAAATCTGACGTGGGTAATTCACCCTGCCTGTCGCCGCCCGCACAAACTGCCCCAACAGGGTCCATCACGATTTCCCACGGCCCTTCGAATTCCCACTTTCCGTCCCCCGCGCCCCCAATCCTTCTCCCCGTTCCGCCGTCCGCGTCCCCCACGATCCGCTCCACCAGCGCTTGCGCATCCTTCAGCGCAACCAGTGGCGGAAACCTGTGCGCGTTCTGCCGGCTGAACTCGCGCGGAGAACGCGGGCTTGCGGAATTGGCACGTCCCCCCCGGGGCAGCGCCCGCTTCATCATCTCCCCCTTCGCCTCGCCCGCCTCTTCTTCATCCTCCCCCTCCCCATCCTCCTCCTCCGCCACCAGCGGTTGACTCGCGCACCCCCCCAACCCGAAACCGAGACTGGAATTCATCGCCGCTGTTGCGGCGGCGACGGCGGCGACAGCGGTGGCGGAGGCGGCGGCTGCGGCGGCTCGTTGAGTGGAGCCCGCGGCGGGGGAACTGACCTGCAGATCCGTGGCGCGGCGCCACCCAGCGAGACCCATCATATTGCGGCTTCCGCTGAAGCCGACTCTCCAGCGGGGCGACGCGAGGTCCAGGTACGTTGGCGGCAGGATGGCGGCGCGACTCGCGTCGGCCGCGACAACTGCGCTCAGAGGAGGCGACTGAGAAGAGGGCGAGTCGGGCGACGGGGAGGTGCGATAAGGTGAACTGAGGCCTTCGCGTTCGCAACCGTCGCTGCGCTTTTTCGCCAGCATTCGCGAGAGCTTTCGTTGCGCACCGGACGGCGTCATGTGCAGAGGAAAGGTCAGATCGGGACCGTCAAGGCGCACCAATGCGTAATCGGATGACGCGCCAGCACCGGTAAGACGTTCTTGTGGACTACTCTCATTTATGGTATCAGTAGCGGCTGTTATCGGGGTCCCCGAATCGGGGCCGCGCTCATGGTGAGACTGGTTTGGTTTCCTCGGCGCTTCTACTGGCGGCGCGGTGGCGAAGGAAAAAGAAGGCAGGCGCATGGCTGGTGGTTCTAACGAGGCGCCGTTGCTTTCGGACGGCTGTAGCGGCAAGTTGTCGATAGCGGCGGCGCTGGAGTCTACGCTTGAACCATTGAAGTCTGCGCGCCGATCGTTTAAGACGCCCCAGCGTTGCTCGTCGATGTCTGCGCCTCGTCGATCATTTAAGACGTCCGCGTCGCGTTGATTGCTGCGTGGGGAGTCGGAGTGCGGGCTGTCGGGCTCGTCTTGGGAATAGGGCGGCTCGGCATCGGCTGGGAGAAACACGACGTCGCGGAATGAGAGGGACGCTGATTCCGTCGACGACATACTCGGCTGCTTGCGATGCCTCGGCTGCTTAGATACTTCTGCTGCTTGCGATGCCTCGTCTTGGGAATGGGGGGGCTGCTTCCGATGCCTCGACGCGAACAACTGATATTTAGACAACCGACAGGCCTGCAATACAATGCCTGCTGCCCCTGCACTGCTTTGGCAATGAGGGCTGCTGCCAGTAAAGGAGCGAAGAGTCGCACACTGCAAAGGCAGGGGCAACAGCAATGGCAGAAAAGGTGGCTGCTGCAGCGGCGTGGCACAAACGGGGGCCTGCGGCAAGGGGGGTGTGAATGGGAAGGGGTGCTTTGCCTTGCCGCAGCTGGTTTCCTTGTGCCAGGGGGAGGGGGGAGGGAATGGGGTGGGGAGGCGCATTGCATTGCCTTGCTGCAGCCGTTTTGCTTTCCGGCCATCACACTTCGATCTGCACTGCACAGCGCGCCTCCTCCAGTTACTTTACTGGAACCTGGTTGGCCCGTCGTCTCACCCTCCGCAGATACTGTACGTCACGACAGGAGTGAGTTTCGCGAACCCAGCCCAGCCCAGACAACATCCCAGATCAAAGTTGAGAACCTCACCACAGGTTCGACACCCAGATGAGGTGTTTGGCTCGAGTCGAGAATGATGCGATGCGATACGAAGCGATGCAGCGCAATTCTTGAGCCTGCGACATACTGAAGCCCGTCCGCGACCCAAGAAAGTGCAACTTTCATGTTCACTTGAGGCCGCATTTCGGGCTCGTAACAGTCTGTTACCAGCAGGTTTGGCCGTCGACCTTCCCAAAAAGTCCGTTCGGTGGTGGGAAAACGCCACCTCTGTTACGAGGACCCCAAAGTCCCAAAGTTGTTCGCAGGTAGCGCCGCCTGTGCGAGTCGTTTAGTTCGTCTGTTACCAACGGCCCAGAATACAGCATTTGTGAGGTTCGCGAATGAAGTTTCGCGAAAACGATCACTTGTTACTCGAGTACTTCAAATCAGAGCCCCGAATCCTATACTCGATACTGTACAGAAATTGCTTTCCGCACTTCAGCTGTCTTCCTTCCATTCGGGCTTCAGAAGGGTAAACCTCATGGTCGGCATTCTCGCGTCGCCGAGTCATCATGCTTCCTCGTTCGCGGCCCCAAGCACCGGTTCGTCGTTCGCTGTCCGCTCCACCCATGTTTCGATCTCCGCAACGCGACGCGCTCCGCGGGAAATGCCTCGATCTTCCGCCACCGTTGTGGCCCCCACTGCAGCCCATCACGCGCGCGTGCGCTCACCGCCGAATGCGGCGGGAAAGCTGCTTTGCTTGCTCCGCAGCCCCAGCAACGCGCAATGGAGAGCGCGGGGGGAGAGTCTTGATGCACTGACACGTACCGACAGAATTGTTCTGAAACACGACTCGCGGAGCTCGAACCGCAGGAGTCCTCCAGCGCGGCTCGGCAGGTGGTGGGGATTGGCGCATCCCGTGTCCAATCGCGCCTCGAAAGTGCTGCAGGTCGAGTCGCGCAACCGAATCCTGTTCGAGCCGCACGAGGTGGGGCGGGATGGGAGCATCGAGCTGGCAGCGTCTGATTCGCGCGCCCGCCACATGCGGCGCGTGTTGCGGGCAGGCGAGGGGAAGAAGGTTCGGATCGGCATCGTGAACAGCCCTGCTGGCACCGCTACAGTGAGCTCTCCTGGGCGGCACACTGAAAGGCTTGTTGGGCGGCACACTAAAAGCTTTGTTGGGCGACATTGAAAACCCCGTTGGGCGGGGGCGGAGCTATAGTGTGTGTTATTAACAGTGTGCTGTGACCTGGCTCTCATGTCCCTCTCCCCAACCCCATCATCCCCCCCTGCTCCGTTCCCCCCCCTCCTTTCCCCCCTTCACTCGCCTCCCTGTGCCCTGCTCTTCCCCGTCCCCCTCGCTCCGCTCCGCAGGTTGTGCGCAATGCGCAAGGAAGGGCGGAAATCAGAGAACCACAGGGGGAAGGGGGCGGGGAGGGTGGGGAGGGAGGGGCGGAGGACAGGGAGGGGGGCGAAGAGGCGGAGGAGGGGAAGGGACGAAGGAGTTACCAGGTAGCCCGTGGTGAGGGGAGTGGGGACGAGGGCGGCAGTGCGCCGCTGAGTATAATACACGACGATGATAGTAAAGGCGACGGTGGCTGTGGTGGTTGTGGTGATGACGATGATGCTTTCCTGCTGCAGTGCAACTTC